ACTGGGAACGCCCCCACACAAGAGCAATCTGCAGCAGGAGACTTGGAGGCAAAATCCTTTGCCCTAAAGTGAAAGAGCATAGAATGATGCACAGAATCTGCACCAATGTCTCAATGAATAATGGCTAATAATCTGAGCAGTGGAGGAATCAAACACTTATCAGCTAAAATGATCATGTAGATAAGTATATAGAACTGACAACCTACACAGTCATGCAAGTATTCCGCAACTACTTTGGAACAGATGGGAAAGATGTGTGCGTGTGCCCTGTTCTTCTACCCACATTTTAACTTCCACCAACTTCACCAATATGGCACTATATTACTATCCAGGAGGACAAGAACAATGCTTTCTTTCAATCTGCTGTTAATGAGGTCCTAGCCACGTCATCTCTGGGATGCACCTGCTGTCCTGAAAAGTAACACTAAGACATTGTCTACACTGCCCTGCTGTACAGATTACGTGGCTGCAAACAGTAAAATGCTGTGCATTAACTTCCCTGTTGGACACTGCAGATACAAACTAAAGGTTTGCTAGTTTTCATTAACATAGACCACTTCAAACAAGATTACATGAATGAGATCAAGGAACCCTTTTGTACCCACAGTGTCCACATAAGCAACTTACAGCATGGCACTTTGGTGTGCAAGGCTCTTTGCAGCCCCATAGTATGAACTGCAGGGCAGCACAGACATAGCCTAAGTTCGATCTTGAATTGGATCTTGTTCTTGGCCTCTAAGCAAACTAGTAGCTGTTAGTTTCCCTTTTACCTTAAAAGGTATTTTCCCCAACACTATTTAAAGTAGACCCCCTGTGTCACGGTAGAACAGCCAGGAATTGGTTAAGGGCTACCTACAAGTCTCATGTCCTGTCAGTATGTCCTCCTTCCAGAGGCTTAGAGAGAAGCAAGGGGGAAAGCCTCTGGGAACTAATGCCTATGCTGAGTTGGGAATTGGTTTATTTTGGTGTTACAAGATTTTTGTTTACACCAAAAAATTCTGCCTTGAGGTAAAGCCTGACACAATCTCAGACATAGCATTTGTTTCTTCCTGGGTTGGTGGGATAGGCCACAAGTTTACAACATCCTTAAAACTCAAAATTTGGACCTCTGCAATAACTGCAATACTGTGCCTCCTCCTGTAGGATAGGAATATACCATTCTTACTGCAGGTGCTTTTGAGTTTAAATGGCACCCACTTCATAAATTGGTTATAACAATGGTAGTTGTAGTAAGTTGAGGGTTGGTAACATAAAATCAGCAGGCCTGAAATCTAGTGAGCAAGACTTTGGCTCAGTGAAGCTGCAGGCAGGAAAGAGACTTGGCTAAAGAGAAATAGAGTATAAGCCAGCTAAAGTATAAAGACGAGCAAAAGGTAACAAGCATAGGTTGAAAGCACATTCCAGAGCAGTTGTAACAGAATACCTCGATAAGAAACATTTTGGTATCACCCATCTCCCCATAAATAATGTACATACTGACCTAAGTTCAGGACCAGGGTGAAGTTGACAGCATGAAGAATAAGTAAGCAAGCCCTCCTTCTACGAGGTAAGGGGTGGTAACCAGGTAACAAATGGTGGCAACCTGATACGTCAGTGATATGTGGCTTGTTTGTACATGTGTTTATAAGTGTACCTCGAAGGGTAATCGCTGGCTGATCATGGGGGCGGGGGGAGGCTCTATGGTGCTTAATAGGTGTTAGCACATTTGTCACAGCTTACATCAGGTGTAGTGGTACAGCGGTGAGTCTGTCCGCTGACAACTATTAATGTATGTCATTTGGCAATAAACCTACTCAGGTGTTTTTGATCCTTATCTGAGTTGTGGTCTCTGAGGGCTCTCTGGGAGACTGTCATGTTAACTAATTGCACATGGTTAACATGCTAGACAGGGGAGCAAACGTATGCATTCACACAGCTGAAAGTTTATAATCAACAGCTGAGTAGAGGACCTGTCAGGAACCCATTGGGATGAACCCTGAAACCTGACTGATGACCCTGACTGTACAACAGTAGTTGAACACATTTTGGTTACAAAATATAACTAAATGCACAAATTACTAGCAAAATCTGGTGTAAAGAAATACTGGAGTGAAAATAATAGCTCTATTATCATATGATCTAAACAAAATACATTCTTTTAATATAGATGAACAAATACAGGGTTTTAAAAAACAAGATCTGCATACAACAAGAAATACGTTATGGTTATTCAGGAACTAAAAGAAAAAAGACGAACCTTTTACCCTGTCCCCTTTGTGCAGATGAATCTCTCCTTCTCCTTGAGGTTGATATGGCTTTACGACAATAAAAAGTCTTCCAGGTACAGCACTGTAAAGTTTGCGTTTTGGACCCTGATAATCCGAGGCAGCAATAGCATCCTTGTTGGCACTGGGATTGTAACCGGCACTAGGGATTGCAATGACACAGCATTAGTTTATAATTTAAAGTAAACATTAATATTGTCCTGTTCTCATAACACATCAGAATGTACTTAGCAGTGAGAATATGCAATAAGCGGGCAGTTTGCATTGAGATTCCTGGAAAAAAAACCTAGTTTGTTAGTATAGACACTCTAATTTTTAGATAATCTTGTAACTGGAAAAGGTTTTCTTACAACCATTTAGTTACAACAAAATGTGAAAACACAATAATTGAGAAAACCATACAGTCTTCCAACTCTTCAGCTAATTTAATTCGCATGCTTTATAGATATACATACACATAACAACACTGCAAAAAAAATATAAGTAGAACCACTTAAGCCACCAAAATCTACAGGTCACAGACGGGTAGCTATGTTAGTCTGTAACAAAAAATTTAAACAACAACAAGAAATGTTCCTCCAGCACCTTAGGATACATCTAGGCAGCAGGTATCCCGAAATAGTTACTAGAGGTATCTTGAAATAGCTACCCTGCATCTTATAAACCCACCTATTATTTTGAAATATTTTTCGACATAACGGGCATGCTATTTTGGCATCCCTGTAACCCTCATTCCACGAGGGTTAAAGGATGTGTCCAAATAGTGCGTTATTTCAAAATATGGTGCTGTGTAGATGCACTAAATTTAAAGCATGGAAAATAGAGAAGCTTGGTATTGGGCCACACCACCACAAAGATATTTCTTTTCAGAAGATCAAATATTACAATAGTTAAAAAACTATCTCTGGTGCAAGGAAGGAAATGGTAAAATTCAAGTGTGGGTGGAAAAATGTTAAAAGGCATCATAAAATACGTGCAACATGCTACAGTTCCACTGCTAAGGATAAATGTAAGGAACAAAAAAGCAGTACATGGAAATGCTGAAAATAGAAGATATGCAAGAGAAACAAGAATACAAAGAAGTAATCTGTGTTGACAGGGAAAAGATAAAGGGAGGGGGAAAAACAGAATGAGTTAATGCTTGTGTAGCTGCTTAGTATGAGAAGGATTTTTTAAAAAATTTGGCCTAGTGATATCCTTTTAAACAAAAAGCACCATTATGACACTGGTAAGCAAACAGGTATTCTTGCCTGAGCTGGTAAATACACACACTAGCATTCAGAAAAGAAAGGAAGGAAGGAGATTCACTGGTTAGCTCAGCCTAATGGGATCAAGGTGCACTTTAACAAACATATATTTTTTAGTGTAAAGAAGAGAAAGTGAAAGTAGGGATTCTAACTTATGAAGGACACAAAATCAAAGATGATTAACTGTCTTTAACAAAAAGGGGGGTGAGAATAATCCAGGAGGAAAGATTGAAGACTATGCCAATAAAGCTATGGATAAAAGGTAAATCAGGGGATGGTTGGGCAAGTTTATCACAGTGAACTTCCCACTCACTCAAATCAATTTCACTGAAGTAACGCACACATTATCAAGAATGGCTGCACCTTCGAATTCAGACTTTATGATTTCTAGACTTACTTTTCCTTCCTTTCTTTCATTGGCAAGGACAAGTGTCAATGAAAACAGATTCCACCAGTGGCTATACAAGTTGGAGGTTTATTGATGAAACCTCACTAGGCTATAGTAGCTGCTTAAAGTGAAAGAGGCAGCTAGTGTTAACCCTAGACCCCACTAGCCATCCCCTTTCCATTCTTCTCCCCTAATCTCTATGCTTACATAACGAGTGCCCTAGGCCTAAACAGCACCTCCTAATTCTACAGACTAAGCAGGTTTGCCACCCTGTCCTGACCAGATCAACCTGCCTGTGCAAGTTACAGCACTACAATATACACACAAATCCCACTCAGAATAATCAGGCGTTCTTATAAACCCTACCTCCATTGGCATGGTCCGGTATAGAGAATATCATGCAATCATAGAATATTAGAACTGGAAGGGACAACGAGAGGTCATCAAGACCTGTCTCCTTCCCTGCTGGCAGGATCGAGCACCATCATCCATGACAGATGTCTGTACAATCTACTCTTAAATATCTCCAATGATGGAGGTTACACAACCTTCCTAGTCAATTTATTCCAGTGCTTAACTACCCTGACAGGAAGTTTTTCCACCTACACGTCCCTTGCTGCAATTTAGGCCTATTGCCCCGCAATGCAGCCCCATCCATGTTGCAGCTGGGCAGCTGCCCCTATCTTCAGGAGGTAGAGAGAATCATTTGTCTCTCTCCTTCTTGTAACACCCTTTTAGGTACTTGAAAGCTGCTATCATGTCCCCTCTCAGTCTTCTCTTTTCTAAACTAAACAAACCCAATTAATTTAGTCTTTCATGTTTTCTAGACCATCAATCATTTTTGTTACTCTTCTCTGGACTTTCTCCAATTTCTCCACATCTTTCCTGAAATGTGGTGCCCAGAACCAGATAGTATACAACAGCTGTTGCTTAATCAGCGCGGGGAAGAATTACTTTTCATAACTTGCTCACAACATTTCTGTTAATGCATCCCAGAATCATGTTTGCTTCTTTTGCAAGTGTCACACTATTGATTCATATTTAGCAGAGTCCACTGTGGTCCCTAGATCCCTTTCTGCAATACTCCTTCTTAGATAGTCATTTCCCATTTTGTATGTGTGAAACTGATTGACTTTGCATTGGTCCTTGTTGAACTTCATCCTATTTATTAGGGATGTCAATGTGTAATTAACTATAAGATTAACCGATAAGCCTAGGCTTATCAGTTATTGTTACCTATATGCATTTCCCCCACCCTTGCTGCCTTTGTATCAGAAGCAGTAAGGGCAGGGATCAGGAGCTGGTGCTGGGGAGAGCCGGTTTAAAAGCCAGCTGCCCTCCCCACCCCAGCACTCCGTGGTGCCGCCTGTCTCACCACTGCTGCTGCATCTAACAGAGGAAGTGGTGGGGTAGGGCAGGGGAAGCTGCCACGGAGCAGTCTCTGTCCATGGCAAACATGGGCCTGCTGTGAGCAGAGGATGCTTCACGGCAGCAGCCCCTGTCCACGAGGGGTCCAAACTCCCCATTTGCAGGAAGCTTGGACCCCTGCAGACAAGGTCTGCTGCCACCCCACACTGCTGCCTCTGATAAAGAGACAGCAGTGCAGGGTGGCAGGCAGCCAGTCTGCGAGGGGAGCTGATTTTTAAACTGGCTTCCCTCATAGATTGGCTCCCTTCTGGCACCCCACACTTTTGCCTGTGATACAGAGGCAGCAGCACAGGGTTTCAGGGAGCTCCCCGGGAATAGGGCCAGAGTGCACTGGTTGCCAGCTCCATCCCGGGGACTATCAAATAGTCGTGTGACCAATAAGAATTAATACATTTATGCAACTATTCAATTACCTAATAGCTAACATCCCTACTATTTACCTCAGACCATTTCCCAGTTTGTCCAGATCATTTTGAATTATGACCCTATTCTCCAAAGCAGTTGCAACCTCTCCCCTCTATTCTGGTAAGAGTGTAGGTCTTCCAAATCTTAAGAGTTAGCATATGAACCAATACGACTTCTTTGATTTAAGAGTCCTCATCCCTACTGAGAGAGTGGATCTCACTTAACTCTGTTGCTAGGACCAAGTACTACAGATGCTGCTTCCTTCAATCTTATTTGACACATTCCATTCCAATAAATCCCAGTCTAATCCTGACACCTTGTTAATATTTTGAGGAGAAAAAATATGAGAAGATGGATGGACTAGATCAGGATAATTGTGCAAAAGGTCACACCCAAGCATCTTATGTCAAACCTATCAAAGATTCAACCTCTCTTTTTTGAGGAGGAGGACTGATTTTCTTGTGAAAATCTTCCCATTCTATGATCGCAGGTGTCCTCCCTTCACTCGTGGGGTTTATAAATGTATTGCATCTAGAGAGAGAGGAAGGAATTAAATAGATCCAAGAAGAGGAAGAAAGTAGAGCATCTGTGTTTAATCACAACTATGAACATGTTTGGCTTTCAGAGAGTTGGGAGAAGCAAGCTCTTCCTGAGAAATGGAAGAACTCTTTAAAAAAGCTGGCTCAGGAGCAGGAGGTGCTTATCATGCATTGACAGAAAGACTGATTTATGGAAAATGTATTTGTTTTTTCGGGGAATGACTCAAGCAAGCTACTCATTTTCATTCCTTTTGCTTTCTTTGGTCTGTGGAAGAAAGCCACAAAAGACTTTTGTTGAATTGACTGAGGCTTTTCAGACTAAAGTGAGGGACAGTTTGATTTGAGTGAATCATTTACAAATAGCAAGGGGAGAGAACAAGAATTCTCCTTTAAGCCAGAGATTAAGGCATGGTGACACTTCAAAGAACACAATTTGTGGAGAGAGTCCTCCGTGTATACCCCCATTCATGACTGCAAAATTCCCTGGGTAACTACAGCAAATGGTTACAGAGAACATTAGGAAAGTGTTTTTAGTGGTCTTCAACAAGTTTAAAAGCTGGAAGTAAGAGCTAGAACCACATGACCAGCCACTTTCTACTGGCCTTTCTATACCATTTTTTCTAATCCATGTTTGAGTGAGTGTTTGTGTAACCCACACATCTACATGGCATGGTATAGTGGCACTTAGACCACTTGCAGAGAGAAAGTATGAGTTCCCTCTACAGCCTTAGTCAAGAGTCAGCTGAGTTGTAGCTCAAGCTGTAGACGCTCATGTACTAAACTGCAATGGTCCCAGGTTCAGTTCTGTCTCCCTGTGTTACATATGCAAGTAGTTTCAATGCAAATACTTGCACCTGGAGTGCTTAGCATTTGGTCTCCACACATTTTCGGGCATGAAATTCACTTCCATCAATATTCGTGCTGATGAAACATTCAATCATTCAGAGAAGAGGGATGAGAAAAGCCAGAGGAAATTCTTTTAAAAAATGAATTAATATCCACATAAACTTGGTGGAATGATGATAATCAACAGGATATAGTCATACCACGGTACAAAATATATTGGAAGGACAGAACAGATCATGCTGGTGGGGTAGTGGCACTATACATGAAAGAAAATGTAGAATCAAATGAAGTAAAAATCTTAAATGAGCCAAAATGTTCCACAGAATCTCTATGGATATTAATTCCATGCTCCGATAATAAGAATATAGCAGTAGGGGTATATTATTGACCATCTGATCAGGACAGTGATAGTGACTATGAAATGCTAAGGGAGATTACAGAGGCTATCAAATTTAAAAACTCAATAATAGTGGGGAATTTCAACTATCCCCATATTGACTGGGATCACATTCCTTCAGGATGGGATGCAGAGATAACATTTCTTGATACCTTAAATGACTGCTTCTTGGAGCAGCTGATTCTGGAACCCACAAGGGGAGAGGCTATTCTTGATTTAGCCCTAAGTGGAGCACAGGATCTGGTTCAAGAGATAAATATAACTGGACTACTTGGAAATAGTGACCATAAATTAATAAAATGTAACATCCCTGTGGTAGGAAAAACACATCAGCAGCCCAATACTGTGGCATTTAATTTCAGAAAGGGGAACTACACAAAAATGAGGAAGTTAGATAAACAAAAATTAAAAAGTACAGTGACAAAAGTAAAATCTCTGCACGGTGAATGGAAACTTTTCAAAGACACCATAATAGAGGCCCAATTTAAATGTATACCCCAAATTAAAAAACACAGTAAGAGAACCAAAAGAGTGCCACTGTGGCTTAACTAGGAAAAAAGAAGCAGTGTCAGATAAAAAGATCTTTTAAAAAGTGGAAATCAAATCCTAGTGAGGAAAATAGAAAGGACAGTAAACTTTGTCAAAGTAAGCATAAAAATATAATAAGAAGAGCAAAAAAGGAGTTTGAAGAACAGCTAGCCAGAAACTCAAAAAGTAATAGTAAAATGTTTTTAAGTACAACAGAAATAGAAAGCCAGCTAAAGAACCAGTGGAGTCCTTGGACGATCAAGATGCTAACGGAGCACTCAAAGATGATAAAGTCATAGCACAGAAGATAACTGAATCCTTTGCTTCGGTCTTCACGGCTGAGAATATTGGGGAGATTCCCAAACCCGAGCCATTCTTTTTAGGTGACAAATCTGAGGAATTGTCCCAGATTGAGGTGTCATTAGAGAAGATATTGGAACAAATTGATAAACTTAACAGTAAGAAATCACCGGACCCGATGGCATTTACCCAAGAGTTCGGAAAGAACTCAAATGTGAAGTTGCAGAACTATTACCTGTGGTTTATAACCTATCCTTTAAATCGGCTTCCATACCTAGTGATTGGAAGATAGCTAACATGACACCAATATTTTAATAGGGCTCTAGAGGTAATCCTGGCAATTACAGACTGGTAATCAGGGCAAATCATTTGAAACTATAGTAAAGAATAAAATTGTCAGACACATGGATGAATATAATTTGTTGGGGGAAAGTCAACATGGTTTCTGTAAAGGGAAATCATGTCTTACTAATCTGCTAGAGTTCTTTGAGGGGGTCAACAAACATGTGGACATGGGGGATCAAGTGGATATAGTATGGTTAGATTTACAGAAAGCCTTTGACATGGTCACTCACCAAAGGCTCTTAAGTAAAGTAAGTTGTCATGGGATAAGAGGTAAGGTCCATTCATGGATTGATAACTGGTTAAAAGAGAGGAAACAAAGGGTAGGAATAAATGGTAAGTTTTCCAAGTGGAGAGAGGTAACTAGCGGTGTTCCCCAAGGGTCTGTCCTGGGACCAATCCTATTCAATTTATTTATAAAGGATCTAGAGAAAGGGGTAAACAGTGAGGTGGCAAAATATGCAGATGATACCAATCTGCTCAAAATAGTTAAGACCAAAGCAGACTGTGAAGAGCTTCAAAAAGATCTCACCAAGTCACTGGGCAACAAAATGGCAAATGAAATTTAATGTTGATAAATGTAAAGTGAAACATTAGATAGCTCTGGGGGCATTGTTAATGTCAATATCAGAAAACAGGGTTTAGCTGGGTCCCATAACAGAAAAGGAGAAGGAGAAAAATAAGGATCAAAGTAATGGAAGAAAGTAATAAGAAAGTGATAACTTAAAAAAAAGAGAGAATTTGGTGAACGACTACAAATTTAGAGATAAATCTATTATACATATGACAGAGAATGTCCATTATTTTGGTTGACATAAAACTAAGTTTATTGGATCAAATGTATTTAAATTCTATTTGAGTCTCTTACTCTCTCCCTAACTGTAATTATCCCTTTATAAGGCAGCATTCTGGAGTGTACTGACATTTTTATAAGATAAATTATTCTCTAGATTATTGATTTTGTTCTATTACAAGATATGCCAGCACCCACCTTTCTCCAGTAAAGCAAGACTTCTCATCCACCTGGCACTATCCATAACTAGGTTGATATGAGGCACACGCTGGTCAAGAGGGGAAGAAATAAAGCACCAAAATTCTCAAGTGATAGGGTACTGAGGAAAGTGGGAAGAGAAGATGCTTGCTCCCTACCACCACAGCTTCTAGCTGCTGCCCCTCCCCAGCTTTACTTCCCACCCTCTAGCCACCGTAACCAGCCTCATAGGAATTCCTCATTACTTCACTTTTTCTTCCTTCCTGCACACTGTTCAACTCCAGAAGAGGGGAAGTGGGACTTCGATATGCTGCAGAATTGGATATATTACCTCTAGCTGGACTTGAGTATTATCTGGGAAGGGGGCTGAAAGAAAGCAATTGACTCAGGGTCCATCAGCTCTATGATGGCCGACAGTACTCTCACCCTATTGTAAAGTAAGCAGGCTACAGCCATGAGAGACAGTTTGGACATTAGCATCTCAGAGAACCTCTCTTTCCCAATGATTTTTAGAGCTGTTGCAACCATATAAGACTCTCAAGCTACTTGCATTTAGAGCTGTCTGAATAACTGATTTTTCAACTCATTGGCAGAACCAAAACATTAAAAACAAAACAAAAAACAAAAAAAAAAACAGTTATGGATCAACCAGAAACAAACATTTCAAATGTCAAACTCTTTGGTAAACTGAAAAAAAAAGTTTATTCTGGATGAAAAGTTTCATTTTGTTTTTGAGTTTAATCTTTTAAAATAAAATCAAAACAAAAGGAAATTTTGAATTGAAAAAATCAGAATGTTCCTTTTTAAACCCCTCCCCCCGGTCTATTAGCAGCCTGCTTGAAACAGGAGGGGGCTGGCAGAGGATACCGGAGCATGATTTGGTAAGCTTCAGACCATATTGCTAGCCTTACCTGTTTATGCAGGCTTTGTGAGGAAAGGGATGGAGTGGATAGAAGTATCTGAAAGCAATGGTTAAAGGCATTGGCAAGTTTAGCTTTTGGACATTGTTCCAATGCCATGATTTTATTCAAATGTTCACATATACCCAAGGCCCAAGATGGATATTTACAATGAATCTGTATGAATGAATATTGTGATCAGTGTGTCCATAAAATGATCTATTTCAAGCTGTAGGAATACTGAAAAAGATCACCTGATGTGCCTATGTTGCTGTCTTTTTGCATCCTCTCCTAGCCTGTTTAGTGATGGAGACCGACTCCGAGAGGATGGAGTATAACTCCCAACAGTTTTTACAGTTCCATTAGGATTATTCTGCATCTGTTGAAGCAGGTGAGGTGAAAGGCTGCGGTGTGAAGAAGCAGAAGATGAAGCTGACCAGTCAGGAATGTTGTTGATGTTCAGATTGTTATCGCTGTTGGAACGAAGCAAGACACGAGGTGCTGCCAAGGTGCTTTGGGGCCTCCGCCTCCTGTTCGAATAGGTAGGGGCCTCTCTAAATGGCACTGTAAGGGAGGGGGAGACAATTATGGTAATCACATCTGATTTTACATTTATGCATATTTATCATGCCTCAAAAAGATTCAACAACATATGGCACCTTTTTCGGGTGCTTAGAGAAAAACGATCTCTGCTGATTATCTAATCAAGCTAAATAACAGAATTATATTTAAAAACATAATTAAAACTGAAAACTACTTTCACATGCAACATACTTTGACTTAGTGATTCTACTACTTAGTTAACCCCACAACACTGGAAACATCAATGATAAATAAATAGTAATGGCAAACATCTATTTTTTGCCAAGCTTTCATCAACACTATTTGCTTTCTCTCAAGCTTTCTTTGAAGCCTCGCACAAGATCATGGACATAACTGGTCTACAGGAACTTTTTCCCTATTCTGTTTTGGTTTCCTTTTTCCTACAGAGCCCTAAACTGAAAGAAAACATTTGGTTCCATTGTCAGTTCACCAGTAGCCTGGAAATCTTTAATGTTAGCAGGATTTATCTCCATCTTTCAGGTTAAAAATTCAGGACAGATTCTTCTTCTGTTAGAACGCTTACACTAATATAATCCTGAGGTGTCTGTTTTTCTAATCTAGGCATTTATATTGCACCTATTATTGTCTGTAGAGCAGAGAGTGCAAAATCCTGAGGTAATATACTCACTTCAGCTCCCACCTGCATCCAGGGGAGAACATACCCAGACATCTATACGTCATTTAGCTAAGTATTTTAAGTAAAAGAATACAAATCAGGGACTCAATCCTGCAAATGCTACTGGCAGAGCACTGAAATCATGGGACAATTTATATTCGTAAACATTATGCCCCAGAATTCTTCATTTCACAAAGTAATGGGTTCTTTGGCCTTAAGTACAGTTTAAAGAGACTTTTCTAATAATGGGCTTCTTATACACACACTAGAACAGATATTTCTTCCTACTAATTTTATAAACTAATAGAGAGTCTAATCCTGAAAACACTAATTTATTACAGTCCTTATTTACACCACATAATCACATGAACTTCAGTGGGTTTGTAGGATTGAAGTTAGAGTTCACAAATCTATATCTGTAAAGTAATAATAATGATATCACTAACAAACGGTAGCCTATAATAATTAGAAAGGCTATACACCTTGTCATTTTCAAAAATTCTATAATATTTCAGTTAAGAAAGAAACCCCAGATAATATTTTGCAAGTATACAATGTCATTCATTTTGAAGAATAAGAAAGTACCTAACACAAACTTCAAAAGCATAAGCTTATATAAAATAGAAAAAATAGGTCATATTATACAAACACATAAATCTTAATATAGCTCTTAGTATACATAGAAATCACTTCATCCTCCTCTAATATACAGCCACCCCTGGGTTTAAAGACAACAAGTGCTTAACATCAGAGGAGCAAAGTTTCCCACAATTTTAGGACAGGACATAAAGAATATCTTAACGAATTACAACTTGAAGCTGAAAGAATAATTCAAGAATTCTTGACTGACAAATGACTGAAGAGGATCATAAAATGACACAGTACAGAAAATAGTTAAAATTACAGTTAGTTGAAACTCTTAATTTAAGTTAAACCTTCTCTACTAAATATTAACAAAAAGGTACGTATATAGAGAAAGGGTTTAAAAATTTATATTAACTTTTACTGTATTTTATTTGAAGCAAAAAATAATTAATATCAGTGTACTTTATCAACAAGACTATTAAGAAGGATAAGATTTAAGAGAATGCTAATGTCTACAAAACCTCTGTGAGAAAAAAATTTGTTCAAGTTTATCATAATGCCTACTTATTTAAAAAAATTACAATTAGAAGAAATTCAGTGGAACTTGTGTTCCTAACTCCAGTTAGGTGCATTTGTCTGTATGATATAAAGCTTCTAAAAGATTCAGCTGTAGGCCAACATACAATTCAAGAAAATTTACAATACAATCGTCCGGAGTGTTTGTAGATCCTCTGCAAAAAGGTACAATTTCTTTTTTCATTTTTCATTCATTGTCACTTTAGAAAACTCTCTGTGACAGTTGTCTTGCTATGTTATGTGTAGTATGTGATACAGATGTACTGTTTGTATATAGCTATGTGGGACATTTACCATACTTCTTACTAACAAAGTCATCGAAGACAGGCAGATTGTGTATAAGATATTATGGGGGTAAAATATTTACTTTTAATAAAGACTATACAAAATAACATGGTACAATACGTACAGGCTTGCTTATTTATAGGCGGAATCGGTTCCCATTTAAGTTAATGGGAGTTTTGCATTTGGCTTCAACAGGACACAGATGTGGCCTTTAGAATTATTTGTTAGTTCACAAAATGGACAGGATGAAGACTCCACACTTAGATTTTGAATGTTTGTTGTTAAACTCATTAAAAATGAAAATCTATCTGCTGAAGGTTTATTGTTAAAAAGTTGAAATGTTTTGGGGTAGTTTAAGTATTCTGCATATTGCACAGATATTACTGAACTAATTGACAGAATGGGATAAGCATTTCTGAACACATTTGCAGTGACAAGTTTCAGATAAATCAAAAATTTGCATCCCACTCCAAATATAAAACATGTATGTATTGTCCAGGTCTCATGTAAAATTATTTTTGCCCATTGCCTTCAAGTGCAGAGGATATTAATAATCATTTTGGAATTAACATGTGGTTTGACTACTATCAGTCTTACATTTTAAAAGACATGGCTGGAAGTAGTAATTCAAAAAGTAAAGACTAAAAATATTAACATTTTCTTTGTAAAAGTAATATAGGGAAAATTATCAAAACCACAATTAGGATTTTTAGGCACATATTTATAGAAAAAGAGTTAAAAATAACCTCTTCCGTGCCTTAAATGATTAATATTCCTACCAACTGTTTTTCTCCCAGCAATCTGCAAACTGTAAGTGGGTGGATATTTTCTTAGCTGTTTCTTACATGGCAATATTTATATTATTTTCACAATAAAAATAACTACACCACAAATTAATGAAACAAATGTGCATGCTATAAATTCTTGGAATAATTTTTATTGTTATTTAATTATTTTACAGATCTTATAAATCTTGTTGCAAAGGTTGTTTGAAAAAAAGAAATATTATAAAATGTCATAAAACATCTGAATGAATTCCCTGCTTTTAAGTTTCAAATCAAGTAATTACTGTACCTTTAAATCAAAACTAAGGATTAAATAGCACTTTCCTTCCAGGTCTCAGAATTTTATACCTAACATGCCATACTTAAGAGAGGGCAGTTAAACAGTATACAGTGATAATATTCACCTAGGAAATTCCTAATGTATCTTCAGATGAATTTCTTAAAAAACAGAATCTTCTGTAACTACCTGAGTTGAAGAAAAAACTAAAACAAATACATCAGGTACCAACTAGATCTAATAATTAGTTGTCTAAATGGATGCTCTGACATACAAGAATTTTGAAAAAGAAATTACAAGAACTGATTAATTATATGCTAAGTAAGCAGATCATATAAGGTACACAAGAAAATACCAGCTCTCAAACATCAAATGTTCTGCATTCATTGCTTACCTTCTTTCTTTGTTAAGGCATTTAACAAAGACTTCATTTTCTCTTACTTTAGCAGCAATCCCCTCATTACATAACCTTTTCTGGGAAGAAAAAGGGAAAAAAAACTACCCAGTTTCTATGTGTTTAAACTGCCTGCACCCTGACATAAGCAGCAGGTTTCCGGGCACCGTGTAATTGCAAGCATAGCTGGGCATGCAGTACCCAGCGTTCTGGTGACAAAGCCCACCCCACATTCTGTCTGTCAGCTGGGAACCAACTGTGCGTAGACTGGAGCGGCTCAAAAAAAAATCTTGCTATCTTTCACAGTATTAGTCATGTGAACACCATCACCACAGTCTTTCAGACGTTACTCTGCCTTTGTAATCATTGCATTTATGAACAAGCAAACACAGGACTGAAGGAAGGAAAAGCAGTTCAGGCTAAGAGGGGCCAAAATTTATATTTGGAAAGGGAGGAGGGGAATCATTGATGGAAAGATACCTCCTATCAGCATTTCAACAGCAAGAATTTGTGAAGGAAAAATCTTGAAAGTAAGGGAAGCTACTGAATAAGTATGCTTAGTTTTTAAAATTGCACAGATGAATCTCAATATTCAGATACATTCTTTGTTTTTTGATATTTGTTTGCTTGTCTTTTTCAATGTGACCAGAGTAAATTCTAGAGCGTGTGCGCATCTAACAATAATCAGGCTTCACACCATGCCTACATTAAAAATTTAGACAAACTGCCACTACACGGCATTTCTGAATATGACCCATATTCCAGTTTGAAAAGGATGAGAGGCAAGCACCAATTATTTTCTACACCCCCTCCATTATGATAATTACGCTGAAATAAAATAGATTTTGATAAGGAAAAAACATTGAAATGCAACCCAGCTACTTTATCAAATTCTGTGTAGATGACAATAAATTATTTAACCATTGCAGCTTTTTAAAGGTTTTATTAGTGGGAAATTTCTATGGATACCAGTGAAAATCAGTGCAAAAATCTTTTCAGAAGAACAAAAAACTACTGGAATGTTGAAAGATTAGCTTTTTGAAAACATTAGAAATAGGATGTGGGATTTCAGCAGTCGCAACAAAGTGAATGCTTAGCTGTTGAAAAATTCCATTTTGGATAAATTTATAAATATTTCAGCAATGCTATATACGACTTCTGGGGAGTAAGATTTACGTTTGCAAAGACTAACCTGCAAACTTAAACAGCATACAGCGTAAACCTAAATTGTATACTTACAATTTACACCATTGCAGCAGCCTCCGCTGATGGTTAAGATAAAACCCACAGATAAAAGCTAGACCACTGTATCACTAAGATCACTGCTCCATAAACTAAAAAAGGAAGAGGGATCATATGGATTACTTGGATTTTACTTCCATACGCCTGATATGCTATCTATAAAATAACTCACAATATAAAGTGAAGTGCTTACTTATGCTT